TTCTGGTGACCGAAGGAACCGGGAATGTTGGAGTACACTCGGTTCTTCTGGAGACCGAAGGAACCGGGAATGTTGGAGTGAACTCGGTTCTTCTGGTGACCGAAGGAACCTGGAGTGTTGAAGTGAACTCTGTTCTTCTGGTGACTGAAGGAACCGGCACTGGGACCATCCTGGGAAGGTGAAACCATCGCTGCTGAGCGGCTCTCCTCCTCATCCGGAGCAGGCCAGCAGATGACTTCTCCAGCTGCTTTTATGTAACGTCTCAGCCAGTTAGAAGGCCCCGAGCCTTCAGCCAATGGGGAGTAGAAGCTGTTTGTCCTTCTCTGATTGAGAAAACAGCTGGATGTTTTCAAAGCCAGAGGGTCTGTGAGGATGAAAGGCAGAGGCTACCAGATCCAGTCTCTTAACCAGTAAGTCAGAGTGGGAGGGGGGGTCCTGCACTGATTTGAGACCCAATTCTTCCTGCATGCCAAGAGCCGTCAAATATGCCCCCAAAAAGTCTTTAGATGTGAAGGAAGAGTCTGAATTGTTTCATTTAAGGAACAGCATCTGATTGGAGAAACATTGTATGTTGTATAAATTACAGCCGCTGCAGTTGAAAACATAAGTACTAAAACATAGAAAGCTTCTCTTCCTCACTACAAACAATGAAAACAGAGCAGATTTTAACCTTGTCCTTCAGAAAACCCATTACAGCTTCCCTAAAAATGGGAAAAATTCTAATTTCCACATGAAGTAGATCAAATGTTTACAGTAAAACAACCCAGTGTGTGTTTTTCCCATAAGGATGGACCCTCCATCTATTCTATGGGACTGAATATAGAGTATTTATGACACATCCGGAGGCCAGCAGCGCTGTCGGTGCAGCAGCTTTGTGACAGTGGATCCTGGCTTTTCACACCCCTAAAAATATCTCTCAGCCAGTGGCTGGATCAAAGGGGCGGCAGCGCTGCTATGAATACCCCCCCGGCATGCAGCCTAAAGCCAGGGGCGGAGCGGAGCCCTGCGGCATCCAGAGCTGTCAGAGATCCAGCCTGCCTCCTCCACATTGAACCGCAGCAGAGCTGAGGGGAAATAAAGGAAAAACTATGAAACTCCTGCAGCTTTAGAAGCAAGTTTAAAAAGTGTTTTTGACGTGAGGAAGATCAGCCGGACGGAAGAACTCCTCTAAGTTTTAATTTGTTTGTTTTTGTAGTTTTTTAATAGTTTCTCTATCTGTGCAGAATGGAGGATGAGCAGAGGTGTAAAGTTTTTGATAAAGCAGCTGGTGAGAGGAGGATAAATCCCACAGCAGGACAGAGACTATGGAAGCAGTCAATCTGGAATAATCTGTCCTGGATTATGGTCTGCATCTCTGTGTCTGCTCTCTGCTTTGGACTCTGTGTGTTTGTCCTAATGAGGACCATGGAGCTTCAGTCCAGGATCCTGAGTCTGGAGCAGCAGCAGGATGAGAAGTTCACCGCCTGGATGATGACTCTGGAGCAGGTGGAGCCCCTCATTGTTGGACGGCTGGACCAGTTACTGGAGGAGGTAAGGCTCCAACAGAACATCCTGAGCGTGGCTCGTTCCTCTCACCTGTTGACCTTTTGCAGCGAAACATTTCATGGTTCTGTGATTTAAAACCCAGAATCTGAATCATTTCCAGAGTCTCTCTGAAGTCTCCCCATCATTTTCAGTCCCACTGAGGAGAACAAGCCTCCTAGCAATGATCATGAAGGGGGTTGAAGTCTACCCCCCCTCATTACACTACTACTCATCAGCTTCTAACCAAAAAGCAACCAAGTTTAAATAACCTGGAAATGTAAAATATGCATATATATATATATATATATATATATATATATATATATATATATATATATATATATATATATACTTGGTCATCGGTGAGTTCATGATGTGTTTGTGTAGTTTTAGATTTGAGTTTGAGCTATAAACTTTTCATGAAAAGATTAATCTGCACCTGGAAAACATTAAATAACAGAAAGTCTTTTGGCATATTTAGATTTTCTTTATTAATTACAAACAATCCTGGAGAAAAATGCACAATGAAAGCTGTAAAACAGGGGTGATTGATTAACAATAAGCGGGGTCTGAATAAAGAAAATTATCAACCAGTAAAGGTCCGGAGACATTTTTAATAATAATCTGTTACTTTTAAACAAAATTTAACAATTAAATAAAATGAGTTTTTTATGCACCCATGTTATACAGTGAATTTTTAAATAAAAAAATATATAAAAAAAAAGGAACATTTTTCCATTTAAAAAAAGTGTTTTTCTAAAGTAGAGAACAACAATCGTTGGTATAATTTAATTATATGCTTTAATTTATAAATGTTTTAAATCAGGTTGGGTCCGGATCCGGAGCGCGGTCCGTAATCTCTGACCTCTGCTGTAAAATATTGTAGAATTAAAGGCTAAAACATAACATTAGAGAGCAGTCAGGGGATTTTATTTATTTATTCATTTCAATAAAAGCATTAATAACACTGTGATATCTAACATTCTTTCTGGGTTTATAGCTTTTTTATATACAAATGAACCTTTTGTTTCATCTTGTTCCATAATTCTAATTTAACTGAAGATAGAAAAAAATTGGGAGATGATTGAAGCAGATGACTGGAAGTCTTCTGAAATGTTCATAGCACTCCTCCAGCTAAAAACCATCCGTGGTTCAGGATCTTCTAGAGGTTTCTGTCTCGCTGACAGACTTTCTATCTGAGCTGATTGTCAGGATCTAGGAACCTTGGATCCAATATTCAAAACAGACAGATCCGGACAATTTTAAACAAGCCTTTATTCAAAACAACTCAGCATGCGGCTGCTCATCAGCTGGGGCGAATAAACCGCAACCTCTGTAGGGATAGAAACTCAGGATAAAAGGCAGAACCAGGTTTACAGACCAGAAGATCAGAGAGTCGAGGAGGTACCAGAGGATAATCCAAGCCGAGGTTAGAAGCACAGTCCAAGTTCAATTAACCAGCAGAATCCAGGAATCAATCCAGTATGAACCGGACTAACAGAGCAGCAAGGGCAAAGCTAAACTCGGGTATCCAAAGGCAGAAACAGGTCAGAATCAGAATCTCAGAACTTATATAAGGAACACTAGAGTTACTCTCACCAAACAGCTGGAATAATCTGGCTCGGAAGGTAGGCAAACAGGCAGCAATAGTCTTTGTTAATCACTAATACTGATATTTTCTACATTCAGATTAAATCAGATTAGATCTGATTGAAAGCTGACAAAAAGGAGAAGATGTAATATCAAAAGTTCTGGCTAAAGACTTAAAGGGGGATGATGGCTGTGGTGCCGATCGACAGCAGTCAAACTCATTCCTAGTTATGTCTTTTCAGAGCTTTAATGATTTTGAGGGGATTTACCATTAGGCAATTCTAGGCAGTTGCCTAGGGCCCCAAGTTCCTCGGGGCCGCATAAAACTGTGTTTACATGTATGGTTAATACAACTATTCCTTATTTGTGCACATTAATTATGTTTTTAGCACGCACGACCCATGTACGGAAGCCTTAGTCAACATGGCCGACCCGGGTTAGAATGAGGCCTGTGCTCCTTTGCTGCATGGCTCTCCCACTGTCATACCTCCTTTCCTGTCAGCAGAGATGGGAAGTAACGAAGTACAAATACTTCGTTACTGTACTCAAGTAGATTTTTCTGATATTTTTACTTTACTTTACTAC